GAGGCTGAGGAGGGCCGTCAGCGTGGGAAACATCCTGCGCAGCCAGGAGGCCCCTGAGGGCCACAGGAGGTCGACTCGCTCACTGTCAGCCTACAGCCAGAACAACAAGTATCAGCCGCCCAAGGGCCAGGACATGCAGGTGAGACAGGTGAACTGTGACTGACGCACACATGTCAAATCAGAGTGAAAAGAAATGGACACAGTGAATTTTAAGATAACTTTCTCACTTTTAGACAAAAGAGTAAAAGAAAGAACTTAAACATGCAGTATATTGCGCCACTGTTTGTGCCATTATATAAAATTTTTGTATACTGTATTAAATTGTTAAAGCTTCTGAAACAGCATTTATACCATCATTAGACCTTTCTGTGTTCCACCACACAGGGTAAATATGTCAACATGACTGACTTGTTTCTGGTTCATATTCATATCTGCTGTGTCAGGTTGAGGAGGAGGATGGTCAGCTGGTTTTGGACAAGAACCCTCTGGAGTGGACTGTAGACGAAGTTGTTCAGTTTATCAACTCTACTGACTGCGCGTCTCTGGCCAATATCTTCCAGGAGCAGGTACACGCACGCACTCAAACCAAGTTTGCATGTAGATAGCCGTGAATTTACTGACTGATTTTTTTCTTCCAGTTTTCCACTTATCAAGCCAATGTTTGCCTTTTATTAGAGCTCAGTTACCAGTCGGTCATCCACCCTCGATATGATGGAGTGTTTGATTAGATATTTATTCAGCTTGTGAGGTCATACAAGTCTGTCGCAACCAGAAGATAAAATGGATAAAGGATGGATTGTTTTCAAATTTCTTTAAAAAGTAAAAGCATAAAATCTGAGAAATCTGTCAGGATCTATTTCAATGAGCAAAAATCAGATGAAAGTCAGATTTTTAAAAAATTACATGTCAAAATTTTAGTTAAAAAATATCATTTGAGCCAGAGTGGATTAATAAATGAGTGACGACACGTCCACTGACCTTTTTACAGCAATGGACCCTGAGAGCATCAAATAGTTAAACACTGGCACCAGCACCACAGAGTTACACTGACTTGGCTGCGTTCTTCTAAGATAAGAAGCTGAAATCAATAGCAATAATTATACTTGTGACATTTTAAGTTAGCGACATGTCAAAACATGCTGTACAACCTTTTTGACCATCTCTCTCAAATATTGGGTCACTTTAATAATTAGGTAAATTAGCTGAGCTATCTACAATAAAACACAAAATCAGTTTGCAAGGCTGTACAAGCCATTAAAAGTCACGATTCCTGATAAATCCCACTTTCCTTACAGAAAACAATAGATCCTTGATTGTTTGGAGCATTTGAAGCTACGAGTCATGTGACCTGCTGCCATTTGGACCCCTAACGGTTGCAATTTTAATGGCTCTGATTTGGCCAATGTCCGCTTTTATTTACTGTCATTACCTTTATCACCAAGTATTTTTAGGGTAGTTTTAATAGCAAGTGAACCTAGTTTTCCATAAACTGCAGTAAATATAATTTTTAAAATGTTTTAAAGGGACAAAAAAAAAAATCTCTCCTTCAACCAGCTGTGAATTTTCGATGGCAAACAGTAAAAACTGAATGGAAGTAGTAAGTCTATATGTTGGTAAGGTACCAAAATGCCGAGGGACAAATGTAAAATGGAGTTCTAAAGCCAGAATATTTTTTTGTCCTGTGCAGGACATCGATGGCCAGGCCCTGCTGCTGCTGACTCTGCCCACAGTCCAGGAATGTATGGACCTGAAGCTCGGTCCCGCCATCAAACTGTGTCACCAGATCGAGCGCGTCAAGGTCGCCTTTTACAGACAGTACGCCAACTGACCGAGAAGCAGCAACTGCAAGTTCCCCACTGATCGCCCACACAGTCTAGAGGAATGACTGGGAAAGGCCGGATTAGCCGCCAGCTGGTGGAAAACGCCGATGTGGAGTTTTTGTGGATTTCCGATGTGCAAGAAGAAGGATTATTTATCAGAGCAGCTGCGTTGGACAGGCACAAACTAATGTCAACAATTCTGGCGGATGTTTGCCTACAAGAAGGATTAATTTGTGGCTACTGTGGGTGTGAAAACGCGATGCTACACAAACATCAATGAAAACACACTGGAATTGGCTCCATGTGCTTTACTGATCTGTGAAGAAGTTCTTTTGAAAAGCTGAGGACATTTGTTTATTTCCCCTTACTGTACTTCTTGTTTCCATTTTATTTGTGATAAAGGAAAGTAATAAGTACTGACCATGAGGAGTTTTATCCCTTTTTGTGTGACATAATTGGTTCTGAAAAAATATATTCACAAAGTATTTAACAAACCACGAAGTAATATATTTGGAATATTTATTGTGCCCTTATTTAATAAGGAGTAATCCATCTATTTGGATGAAGTTTTATGATCATGTCGACTCCACTGAAACAGAACATTAAAGATGTATGCATCGTTTCACAAATGGAAAACAGGATCTGCATTTATTTACATTCACACCTTAGCTTGTGCTTGTAGAGAAGAAGAAAAGGTGCAGCACCTTCCTGAACTCTGAACCCGGCCGTGCTCTCTTCTCAATGTTACAATCGTATGAAGCAATCATGGAAGCTGTTTTGTGTCCATCTATGCAAATGTGTTGCAGCTATTTTTGATAAGAAAATAAATTTCTATTGACTTTCTACATGTTTGTGTTTCCTTCTCAGTGAGACATTACCCCTGCTACAACTTCAACTAGTGGATATATACTGATCACATTTCTTGTTTAACATGCTCTAAACTATATTTATTGAACCATTCACTAGGAGTGTTTATATTTCTGGACCACAGTGCTCTACAGAAATGAAACACACATGAACTGTCTCAGGGAGAGTGAAGGGTTAACAGTTGCTGCCTCTTGCATGGTGAGATATAGGAAGTCAGTGGTTAA